TGAGAAGCACTTTATCTGCCCTTCCATTCTAAATGAAAGCTTTGCTGGATAGAGCAATCTTGGATGTAGGTCCTTGCCTTTCATGACTGTGAATACTTCTTTCCAGCCCCTTCTTGCCTGTAAGATCTCTTTTGAGAAATCAGCTGACAGTCTGATGGGAACTCCTTTGTAGGTGACTGTCCCCTTATCTCTTGCTACTTTGAGGATTCTCTCCTTCAATTTTACCTTGGCTAATGTAATTAGGATGTGCCTTGGTGTGTTCCTTCTTGGTTCCAACGTCTTTGGGACTCTCTGAGCTTCCTGGACTTCCTGGAAGTCTATTTCCTTTTCTAGATTGGGGGAATTTCTCCTTTATTATTTGTTCAAATAAGTTTTCCACTGGTTGCTCTTCCTCTTCTCCTTCTGATACCCCTATAATTCGGATGTTGGATCATTTAAAGATGTCCTGGAGGTTCCTAAGCTTCTCCTCATTTTTTTTGAATTCTTATTTCTCCATTCTTTTCTGTTGGTCATTTCTTTCTTCCTTCTGGTCCACTCCATTGATGTGAGACCCAGCTTTCATTCCATCACTATTGGTTCCCTGTGCATTTTCCTTCATTTCACTTATTGTAGCCTGCATTTGTTCATCTAATTTGCGACCAAAATCAACCAATTCTGTGAGCTTCCTGATCACCAGTGCTTTGAACTGTGCATCTGATAGGTTGGCTATCTCTCAGTTGCTTAGAAGTACTGATTCTGAGGCTTTCATTTGTTCTTCTGTTTGAGCCATGTTTTTTTTTTTTTCCTTTGGTCTGGTCGCGCCTGTGACATAGGTGGGGCGGATCCTTAGGTGTTCACCAGGGCCGGGCACCCCAGTCGCTGGGTTGTGACGTTGTATGTGGGGGTGGGGTCGGAGAGGGCACAATGGCGCTTGCTCCACTCTCTGTTGGACCTCATTCCCTTCCACCACTTCCCCCGGGCAAGCTGGGCCCCTCTGGTGCCAATTCCCATGTGGGTGGGCTTGTGCACCCCGTGGGACCCCTCCAACGACCTCTCCTGTGAGGCTGGGAGTCTCTCCCTGTGCCTCAGCTCCCACAGGTGTTTCCAATCAGCGTCCCGAGGCTCTGTTTCCCAGCGCTGGGATCCTGGGTTGTGCGCAGTGCCTTGTTTCACAATCACCGTCTTGCCGGGGCTGCCGGTTGCCACCCCTCGGCCAGGGCCTGCCAGCTGCCACTTGCGCACCCAGGGTCCACCCACTGCAGTCTTGTGTGCCCTGGATGCCTTACATGCCTAGGTCCCAAAGCCCTCAGTTCTCCGCAAGGAGACCCGCACCTGGCTGCCCAACTCTGCTCCTCCTACTGGTCTGGATGAACGTGTCTATTTTAACTCCCTGGATGTCCGACTTCCATATAGTTCAATTTTCTATCAGTTCTGGTTGTTATTCTGTTTCTAAATTGTTGTTGTCCCTGTGTTAGTTGTGCAAGGAGGCAGTGTGTCTACTTATGCCTCCATCTTGGCTGGAAGTCTCTTCCTACCCTTTTGACTGTCCCTTTTACTCACTCTCCCTTTCAGCCGGTTATGATTCACTACCCTGGGGCTGTTTGGTTTGCTTTTGCCAATTCAGTTTCTACTAAGTAAAACCTCTGAGTGCCCTGCACACAGCGGGTGTCAAGGATGTACCTGTCCCGGAGACTCCAAGACGCCCCTTAGGACACCCGGGCATGTGCCCCAGGGAGCAGCAGGCCTGTTCACAGCCCATCTTCTCACCGGCCTGGCGCACAAGGAACCCTACCTACTGTCTCCTAAACCCACCTCGCTGAAAATCGAAGCCTGAGTGCCGCCCCCCCAACCCCCACAGTCTCTGCTCCACACACGGGGTCGGAGCAGCCCCACAGCGACGTGCAGGGCTAGCGCTCCCACGTGGGACGCAAGCTCCCTACTTACACAAGGAAAGGCAACCAGCCTCGTGCGGACATTACAGACATTCGGCAAGAGATGCTGCTCCAGAATGAGACTTCAGAGAGGGCGAACAGAATGTGGGCCTTTGTGTGGACACTTGCCAGGCTGCTGTTGGGGTTCTAGGCCCCGCCCCCACACGGCTGGCACCTGTGGTGTCTGCTCCAGCCAATGGATGGGACAAAGGCGACCCATGCAGAGTGACGAGGGCTTGCACGGTGACACTTGCTTTCTGGCAGCATCATCTGTGTTCCCCTAACTGACTGCACGTGGACAGGCAGACGTGAGTGAGGCCACCCTCCAGTGTCCAGGGCGCCCGGCCAGCCCCGCCCACTCAGACTCATAAGAATGGTTGTTTGAAGCCCCTGCATTTTCAGGGAGTTTGTTCTGCAGCAACAGCTACCTGGATCCCAACCCCAACAAGCCAGTCATAACACACTGACAAAACCATCGGCAAATGCGACTGCAGCCGGACAGTGAATAGCACTGAGTTACCGGTAATCCCACGAGGTATCATTATGGCCCGGTGTCCTTAGCAGTTTGGGACGCATGCTGCTTTATGGGGAAATGACATGCCTGAGACCTATATCATTTTGTTAACCAATGTCAGCCAATAAATTCAATACAAAAATTTTAAAAAAAATTGTCATGCCTGAAGTGTGCTATAAAACGCTCTGGTGAAGTTGCTGAGTGGCAGGTGGGGGTGTTGGGGCTCACTGCACGTGTTTGCTGCCTCCTTAGGCTCCCGACCCGCCCAGGGGTGGACGTCCCCGGTGTGCGGCCCGGGGAGTTGGGTCAGAGGGCAGCGCAGTCCCGGGCAGCAAGCACTCACTACAACAAGCAGGTGTTTGAGGAGCGCAGTGTGGCCGGAGTGCGCAGAGGACGGGAAGGATCTGGAATGAAGACGGGAGGGGTTTGGAGGCACAGCTGGAAACCGGAGCTGCGGAAGCCAGAGCTCCTGAGGTAAGAGAAGCAAATGTCACAGAGGCGAGGCAGGTAAGGATCACTTTCTGGCTCAGAGTTCGATCTTTTGCTGGCACGTACCACATAGCTTATGTGCTCTCGCAGAATCTACACAAACACATATTTCACTTTATTCAAGAATTCTGAGGTTCGTTGGTTTGACAAGCTGGGGCTCCCTCGTGTGTCTGGTGGAGGGCAGGCAGGGCAGGCAGGCAGGCAGGTCTGAGGATGCCCGTCCCATCACCCACAGGACTCAGGGTCCCGGACGGCTTCTTGCTGAGCTGGCGCTTTCCCGCAGCTGGAAAGTGGCGTACAACTCAGATCTTACAGAATTTGCGATACTTGGTTTCTGCAGCCCAGCACACTCCTGGGCGGGGTAGCTTCTCACCTGCTGCCCCGCACAGGTGTGGAGTCCCAAGTCCCCAGGTCCAAATGTCTAGCTTCCCCGGATCACCTTGTGAAGACATGCAGGCGGGCGGCTCTGCACACCTCGGCACACGCCCCTCACCCACCCCCCCACCCTGGGCCGGCCCCACCTCTCCTTTCCTGTGCCCGCACAAAACGTCCCGGGTGCCAAGATGTGGAAGACCAAGGGGCTCCACAGACTCGCAGGGTAAAGGCTGGTGTGTGCGGCTGTGCCTGAAGCAGAAGGCATCGAACTCAATCACATTATTTTTGGGAACTGACCTAGGAAATGTTAAGTTCATTAAAATGATGCTTTTAAGTTCTCAACTTCTGAGATGTTTATTTTTTTTAAACAACTGATAGTCAATTTACTAAAAAGGCTGATAAAAGCCCCTGCAATCGTAACTTCCACCTCGACTCCTGGCTCAACATTGACAGACGGCGTCTGCTTAACGTCTCCGAAGGTCTGTGCGCGTCAGTGAGCCGCTTGGGGATCCTCATCTGAAACCCATCCCGAGTCACACGATCCTCCCCCAGAGCTTTTCTCGTCCTGACTCCGAGTCTCGGAAGGCATCCGACTGGTCCTTTCACACTGGTTCTTTTCCTTTGTGCCTCTGATCCAGTCAGCACGCACCTCCTCCGAAGGCCTGGGCAGGGCCGTTCTAATCTGGCGAGTCGCCACCTCTTGTCCACGGGTGTCCTCCTGACACAGGTTAACGTCTGCGTCAGAGCCGACACTTCTGAGGGAGCATGCTCGCTGTGGCCACCCAGAAATCATCCGGAAACTGAAACACCCCTTTGCCCACCCCCACGCCCCAGCGGGGCCGGCAGCATCCCCTGCCCCAGGCGGGAGGGGGAGACCGTGCGTTGAAGTCATGCTCCACCGTGGTGAGTTCACACGTCAGCTCAGGCTTGGCAGCTGCTGACCTCACAAGTGTCCCAGTGAGGATGGACCTCAAGTGGAAATACCCTCTTTGTTTCAAGGGCAGAGAGAGCGCTCCTCCAAGGTCAAAGCACACAGGGTAACCGAAGGCTAAAGAAACAGCGACTTGAGGCCTCCTTCACGGGTGACCCCTTCCTTGGAGGTGACTTGCGGAGGGCCCCTTCGGCTTTCTGGGGAGCGCCAAGACCTCAGATGCCGATGGAGCGTGGACGCACGCTGTTGGGCTGAGCAGACACCCGGCCAGCGCCTCAGCGAGCACAGCGTGGTCACGGGGCTTCCTGGGAGATCCTCACTGGTTAGCGGCACAAGGCTCTGCAAGGGGTCTGCGCTGCCACGAATAAGTCACCTCTCAGGGAGGCACCTGACGCCCCTCCAGCAAAGCGGGGGCCGGGAGGCCAGAAGGAGACAGGCTGGGCTCACGGTCAGTCCCGTGGACAGTCTCCAGGGCAGGCCCAGGGGCCTGTGCCTGCTGCCGGCTGAGCTGACTGCAGGGGTCACAGCAGCACGTGGGGCTCTGCAGGCCCAGGGGCCCAGGTGCTGGGGACGCCCCTTCCCCGCTGCAGTCAGGGCTGGTGACAGGGGACCGCCATGCTGATATTTGCAGGCAGTGACACCACGAGGAGGAGGGAAGACACCAGGACAGTATTACCATTACTTCCAAAGGAACGGATACCAGGAAAATAAAGCAGAGTACTTCCCCCCATAAAGCATAAAAGGAGAATTAAAAAAAAAAAAAACCACCAACAGACATGGAGTTTGAAAAGTATATAACAGATTTCTTATTTATTTACAATCAAGTTCTTTTGGGCAACACAATTAAATAAATAAAAGACGTGCCCTGGCCTGTGATTTCCACTCCCTTCCACTGGAGCTCCCTGAACGGCTAACAGAAAAGGGGAGACCAGGGCGGGGCGTGAGGGAGGGGCAGCCCCGCCCTGGGGGAGGAGAGGCGCCCCCCACCCCTCGCCAGGCTCCGGCACTCACACCCACAGCTGTCCAGAGAGTAAGCATGAGAGGAAACAAATAAAGTGCAAATTAGAAAGTGATAAAAAAATGTTGGTGTTTCTCACTCAAGGAACCAAAATTTCCTACACAGGTAAGGTGGGAAAGAAAAATGCTTAAGAAAAAAAAAGAAAGAAAAAGAAAAGAAAGCCACAGGCCCGTTGTCCTCTGGCCTCAATCACAGCTCCTGCGCCCAGGGAGCGCCACCCATGCACCGCATCTGAGAATGGGCTCCCTGCGCTCCAGCACCCAGGGGCTCCTCCGCACATGGGCGCGGCAGAGGGGTGGCGACCCCAAGTTCCCGGCTCCAGAGCTACACTCGGGCCCTCGCACCCGGGTCCCTGGCAGCTGTAATCGCAGACCACGGCGTGCGCCTTCTGGGAAGGGACAGGCGGGTCCCGGAAGACACCGCCTCCCGCAGCACCCCACTTCTCCGGAAAAAGGGCCTCTGCACTCCCTCTAAAAAAGAAACGGCTTCTTAACGTAACTGAGGCTTATGTCTTGACCAAGGACCAGACTGGCAGACGGGAGCCCGCAGGGACCACTGCTCTCAGGAGCAGTTCAGGAGACCGAGGAGACCGCGGCCGCGACCAGGGGAGACCAGGACGGGAGCTTCGTCGTGACAGACGCGAGCGGGAGGACCGCAGGCCCTCGTCTCCTGGGGGATGGGGCAGTCCCGGGGCTCCCTGAGGACAGGGGTGACCCTGTTCGGTTTCTGGTAATCCCATGATTGAAGCGAGCTCGTGGGAAGGGGACCCCAAGGCGACGGGACGCGCCCTCGGCCGGAGCCGACTTGGGAGGAGGGGGAGCACGGAGGAGGACGCCGCGGAGCAGCGCGGGCCGCGTTGGCGTTGGCACTGCCGCACAGGGCGACGGGGCCGGGGCGGCGCCCCGCTGAGGTATGGCGATGGGAGCGAGTAGTGTTTCCCAGGGAACGGAGGCAGACTGGAGCCTTGAGCCTTTGCCCGGTGAGGCCCTGAGGCCGTGGCGGGGCCTTTGCAGCGTCGTCCCTCTGGGCCACCAGAGACGCCAGCCCCGGCCCCCACGGGTCCCCTCCGAGAGAAGGCCACAGCGCCACCCGCTCCGGCTCTCCTCTGGAGGTCGGGGCTGCGCCCAGCGCACCGCCGGCCGGGCCGGGCCCGCGGAGGCCGTCAGTAATCCGACCACAGCACGGCTTTGCTCCCCTTGTCCACGCTGACGACGTGGGTGCCGGAGGGGGACCAGGCTACTGCGTTGATGGACGAGCTTCAAGGGGAGAGGCGGGAGCATCGGTGAGGTCTCGCGAACTCGACCTCGGGCGCCCTGGCACTCGGGGGCAGGATTCCCCACGGCCTGCCCCACGGGCACTCGGGCCCAGCTGAGCACGCGGAGGAGCCCGGGGCTGCGCTTGCAGTTTGGGAACGGGAGGGTCAGGCCTCACCCAGCACCCCCCCCCCCGGGGGGGAGCTCTGCGGGGGCTGAGTGAGGGGACAGTGGCTGGGGCAGAAGTCCCCTCCTGCTCTCGGGGCTCAGGGAGGGGTGGTTACGGAGGAACCCGGTGAGCACTCTGACTAGCAGGCGGGCTTGAGTGGATGGAACTAAGGAGAAAAGCAGCCTCGGGGAAGAGAAGACAATGTTTGCTTCTCTAGCTTTTCCTCCAACGGCCACTAGTCTGATTGCTCGGCCCGGAAGGTTTGGTAAGATAAACAGACCAGGGGCACACCCCTGCACGGCCGTGGGATTGGCCCAGCTCCCAGCACTGCTCCAGAGGACCCTGTCCTTGTGGGGCCGACAGTCCAGGCCCCGGGGACGGAGTCACGGGACCCACCCGCAACCTCAGAGGGGGCTCCCAGGGCCCATCTTACCCATGGTGCTTGGAGAGCACCTTCTCCACCTTCCCGGACAGCACGCCCCAAATGTAGAGGGAGCCCTCGGCCGAGCCGGCCGCCACGTAACCGCCATCAGGGCTGGAGAAGACAGAAGACGAGACACAGTGTCAACCGCCCACCCCCGCCCGACTCCGCATCCTCATGGCCCTCCTCACGAGAAGTAATGCTTGTTCCTTGTTTATGAGTCACACACGGGACCAGTCCTTGCCCGGAAGTGAGAATGTGCCATTCGCACCCGTTACCTTGGCCTCACCCCATGAAGAATAGGGGCCACCACGTCACTTCTGGGGACCCCCAGTCCCTAACTCTCTCTGACTCACACACAGCACAGGGAGACCAAGGCAACCCCCAAATGGCAGGGGGCTTGCTTCAGCGCACGGCTCGCCTGGCCACATGGCTCAGTGACGCAGGAAAGGAGGAGGAAGGAAGGAAGCTTCGGCCCGGAGGAGCTTCTCCCTGGCGCTGGCCCGACCGTGGGGGAGGTGCGGCAGAAGCGCCGTGCGTGGAAGCAGGCAGACCTGGGGGAGGGAAGCCGTCCCTCTCTGGAGAGCCTACCCAGCTCTGCCCCACGGGACTGCCGCACCCCTCCCCAAAGCCTCTCAGTCCTTCTGTAAATGCAGAGACAGGCGAACCTGCTGGGCACACAGCGGGCCAAGCAGCCAGCCACCCCGCTTTGGTGCAATCACAGAGCAACACCGGGAAGACAGTGACTGACGGCCATCTCTGGGGCTGGACTCAGGGTCACTCCAGGACACGCGGGCTGAGACACTGACTCTGGCTCACCTCTCCAGTGGGAAGGCGCCCGTGTTCTAACCTTCGCAACGACCCAAGGTGGGGGTAGGACAGGCGGAAGGAGCAGCCAGACTAACCTGAACATGACCCTCGTCCAGTCGGAGCCGCACTTGAACCCTGGCGCGCTGAAACAGACAGAGAGCGCGGTCACCCGACGGACAGCTCACCGCCCTCGGGGTCGCACTCGGGGTCGGGGCGGAGGGCCGGCCCCTGGTCTTCGCGCAGCCCTCGGAGCACCGGCGCCCCGCACGCACCCAGGCCGGCGTGCCCCGCTCACCTGAACGTCTGCCTCACGGCATTTACTCGGAGGTCGATGATCTTCAGCAGGTCGTCGCGGGAGCAGCTCAGGAGCTCGGTCCTCTCGGGGTTCAGGTCCAGGGCGGTGATCCTCCCCAGCAGCTCCAGCTCTCGGACCACGGTCTCCGATCTGGCAGAGAGACGGGGAGTCTGAGAAACGCACCCAGGGGCGTCAGAACTGCCCGGTGGTGACCAGGACGCCGTGCCATGGAGGGGAGAGGGGGAGGGCGCGTCAACGAGGAGGCGGAACTGGCCCAGGGCCTCGAGTGTGTCCCCGACCTTACAAACGACCTCGCTGCCTGCCTTTACCGTCCTCCCGCCAACCGAGTCTACGGCCACCACTCTGAGCGCTAGGGCTCTAGCCTGGGTTTCCGCCCACCCAGAGGGCGCCCACCAGGCTCCATCTAAACACGGGGAGAGCTGGGGCTTCTCTCCGGCTTCCTGCCGCACAAGGCCCAGCGCAGGTCCCCCTTCTTCCCTCTGTTGTGTCCTCCCGATCCTCCCCTGGGTCCCGGGCCCGGGAACAGCAGTCCCGGGCAGGGCCCCGTTGCCCGGGCAACCACGGGAGGCCCGGGCCCTTCCTGTGCCTTTCGTTGTGAGCTTCCGAGGACACGATTTCCCACCACAAACCATAACCGGGCAGGGGTGTCCATCTCAGCGTTGGCAGTGTGCGGCTGCAAGCCAGCCTCTCCACCGCCTCAGGACCCGGGACCGTCGCCTGTCAAATTAGCGGGTAGACCAGAGACTCTGTCCAGTTTAACTCCCAAACTCCACGCTTCGGCTTTAAAGCTAACCAACGGTCATGAATAAGCCACGAGCTTCACACCGGGCCTTCCAGAGCCTCTTCTGCCACCGCGGTTTGCACTGCCCATTCCGCACGACTGCTCGGCCACTGGGCTTCTGCCCTAGCTGTTCCCCACGCCGCCGGATCACCACCCACGTCCTGACGTCCAGCCTCATCCCAGTGCGTGACTCCTGTCACCTGACCCTGCAGCGGCCTGAGCCCTGGCCCACCGGCGGGCCCCCCCGGCCTCTCTGTCTGTGCCGGTCCCTCCTCACCAGGCAGCTCCCAAAATGCTGTCCGGCCCCTCACTGCTCACCAGCCTGTTCCGACACCTCCACAGCCCTCCCGGAGGACTTCCAACCTCTCTGGAAAATCCTGCCCTCGTATTTCCAAATGTCCGTTACAAATTACGGACTCATGTCCTCTGAACACAATCTCTGCACCCTCTTCCTAAACCTGTCATTTATTCTTTCTTGCTTTAGTTCCCTTTCTCACCCTCCACACGCACTTGTCACCAAGCCCTGTCTGCATTCTCGCTCCAGCGGACCCCCCACTCCCTCCACTGCTTGGAGGTCAGATCCGCAAAAACTCTCCCGACTTCCCTGCTGTCCCATGCACCCTCTAAACCGCCACCCACGCCACCCGGGAGCCTCCCAGGGAGCGGTCCTTTGCCGAACACCCACTGGCTTCTACGGTCGGGCCTTTTACAACATGACGGATGAAGCCCGTGGCCAGGGGGTCCCAGCCCACTGGGTCAGTCTCTTCTGCCCACACCCCGGCTTGCGTTGCTCCAGCCAGACCCGGCTGCCCTGCCCCTCTGGCCTGGCACGTCTGCCAGGGGCTCTTCTCCGACGTGAGGCTGCTCGCCCCTCACGGCGAGCCCCGCGGCAGCCCCCACCGTCCCCGGACAAAGGTGCCCGCCCATCTGCTTCGGCACGCGGGCGCGCACCTGCCTGTCCCGCCAGCCCACCTGCCTGGCTGTGCACCTTTGCCCACAACTGTCTACTTCACGGTAGAGAAGAGCCAGCGGTTAGAATAAACGTGCACTGGAGCTTAGTTCTGCATCTCCGGGGACTCTAAGAACACAACCCACACAAAACCATGCCAGTTCTACCACGGCCAGACCTCCTCATCTGCCCCCCCACCCGGCCCCCGGGCATGATACCGGATGTCCCAGAAACGAATCTTCTTGTCGAAATGCCCACTCATGACACACTGCTCCGTGCAGACGATGTCGTTGCAGCTGGAGCCCGCGAACACCGTCTTTATGCCTGAAAGAAAACCGAACGTCAGCAGTGAAGCGGAGGCCCCCCCACGGCGGTCCTCACCACCTCGCCGCCCTCTGACCCCGAGTCACGGAACGACTCATTTCAACGAAGCCTCGGACACGAGAAAGGGCCAGCGCCTCCGCGCTCCCCGGAACACGCACGTGGACCCGCGCTCCGACCCCGCCCGCCACACTGAGCGAGCGCTCCCACACGGACACTGGCACCCCGCCGCCACGCCCCATCGCGCACACAGACGGCGGGCCCGGCTCGCTCACAGACTTTGCTGCGCAGGTCCCAGAGCTTGAGGGTCCGGTCGTGACTCCCGGAGACGATGCGCGCGTTGTCCAGCAGGAACTTGGCCGAGAGCACCTTGCCGCTGTGTCCCGTGAGGGTGTGCTGGGGGAGAGGAAGCACGGCCGGGTGAGCGCCCAGGAAGCCCGTCTCACTACGGCTGCTGCCCAGAGGGGAGGTACAGAAGGAGGAAGGGGATACATCTCCCATCGCAAACAACACTAAAAAAGCCCCCATAAAAACCAAAGCCCCACACACGCCCCCATGCTCAAAAAGGAGGTGCAGCCGGAGGGCCCTTCGGAGACAGGCCCGTTGCCCAGACTCCCCTGCACCGTTCCCACGCCTCCTCTGCGAGTCTGGGTGACACGAAACCACAGAATTTTAAGAGCCTGGGCTTCAGCCGGTGTCTCTGAAAGCCAGGTCCCTGCTCAGAGCTGGAACAGACCGGCTCCCAGCGGGCATGCCGGCCCTCACAGGAGGACACACCAGGCCCCTTCAGTGCACAGCTGGAAGCCCTGGGGGGTCTGCGAGCAGAGGTCTCAGCGTGAAAGTCAGATCAGAGCCAGATGCCACCCTCCTGCAATCACACCCCTTCCCAGGCTGCCTGTGGGATGCCAACCACGCGTCCTCCGTGGGCTTGCCAAGGAGCACAGGCCTGGGGCATCGCCGTGTGTCAGCCGCCCTTGTGCCCGTCGGAGCACTGCTGGGGCCAGACGGGAGGGAGGCGGCTGGGGATGCTGCGAGTGCAGGGCGGGGGCCTGGGGTCAGCCCTTTTACTGCTCATCATTGACCTCTGTTATCTCTGCAGAACCTCAGAGGCTCAGAAGGCACTCCCTGATGTTTTCTAATAGAAAAATAAAGCCTCGGAGAAGACTTCACTGGCAGCGACGGGTTCTAACCCCGCTCCCAAGGCTGAGGCCTTGGGGCGCCCTGGTGCGGTCCAGGTGTCGAGGTGCTAGGGCCCTGGCTCTCCTCTGGGCCAGGCGGAGCGGCTCCACTGGGGGCGGGGGCAGGAGACGTAGCCACAGCACTCCTCCTTTCCGAGGAGAAGTCCGCACGGCTTGGCTGGGCGGCATCCCGCAAAGCACAGGTTGCTGGTTCAGCGGTCCCCAGTTGGGGCGGATGCGAAAGGCAACCCAATCGATCAATCGACGTTTCTGTCACATCGATGTTTCCCTCCCTTTCTCTCTAGGATCAATAAGCATGTCCTTGGGTGAGGATAAAAATGTTCAACTTCTGTGTGCACGCACTGTCTGCCTTCTTCCTTACAACACAAGTAAAACATTTCACAAACAGGGAGGAGAAGATGGGGCCCACGGACGGACTATGTGAGTGCACTCACTCATACACACTCCAAACGCACACGCTAGTATTTCCGTATATTTCACGAGAAAATATCCCCAAGAACGTACCTACGGCTTTTTCAACACCATAGCAGGGGCAGTTTTCCAGGTGACAGCTGGAACTGCCCAGGCCTCGGGCGTCACACGGATTTGGCCCTGCACAGCCGGGTCCCTAACTTAATCTGAGATGACCCTCGTCCCCGCGCTGGTTCAGGAGGATGGGGCAGGCACGGGGAGGTGGGGGACAGCATCAGCTCTCTGCCTTCTCGCGCCCTCACTCTTAGGAGTCTCCCCATAGAGACTCTAATCGAGAATGACCTTCGTGCAGTGAGAGGGGACAACTTCACTGAAACATCCCGGCCAGCAGGCGGTTGGGTCACTAGGTTTCACGGGAACAAATGACGCTGCAGTGAACACCTACGGGCACACGAAAGGGACGTCTTCACTTCCCAGCCCTCCATCCGCATCGCCAGTCGCATTTTAAAAGGACTGGACCTCCGCCAATCTTGTTCTTGGTGGAGACCCTGCTGGACCTGCCTCGGGCCGCCGTGTGCGCGACGGTGGGGAATCTGAGCCCCCGCAAGTGTTCACTTTTGTCAGTAAAAGTCCTTATTGTAAGTGGGTCAGATTTATCAAACATTCTTTTGTCCACTTAGTGCTTTTGATATTTTTAATATTCAATTTTAACGCTCCTTTTAGGTTTTATGTCCATCTTTTCAGCAAGGGCTCATGAGACAGGGTGCAGCGGGCTCAGCGGTCACAGCAGCCGAGCCCGCACGAGGGGAGCCCACGAGGGAAGCGAGGCTCTTCACAGGCCCCGTGTGCCACGGCGGACCCGAGGGCCTCCTACCACCCGGGCAGCCACCGTGACCATCCACCAAAGGCAGCTGAGCCCCTAAAATGCAGAACTCGAGAGTTTTCTGAAGTAGACGCCTGAAGGCCAGTCCTCCGGCAGCCACCTCCCCCCACACACAGTCAAAGGAGCGAGCGGGCGGGTTCTGGAACCCCGCCCCTGACGTCACACCCAGGGGGCACCGGCTTCAGGCTGCTAAGGGGTCCGTCACAGCCGGCTCTGGGGTCCTGTCTGGGGCACTTTGTGTGCCGGGCTGGCTCGAGGGGCGCCTTGCTGAAAGGGTTTTAAAGAGGCACTCGGCCAGCGGCTCTTCGCAGCCGGCCTCTCCCAGCGCCATTCCCTCATCAGAGAAGGGGGAGGTGCTGACCAGGGCTTGGAACCCGAGTGCAGAACACGAATGTCCACTCGTGCCTCCTGACGCCCCCCGCTGACGGGTCTGAGTGGCAGCCACGGTCCCCACGGCGGGGAGCCCACCCACTCCCGGATCCTGCTGAGAGCCCGACGGGCGACGAAGGCCTCCTGACCCCGTCACGCATTTACCGCCAGGAAGGGCTGTGCGCAGCCCAGGGGCCCACACGGCCAGCCGGTCCAGCAAGGGAGACAACGGCCCCGGCGCCAGCCCCCAGCCCGTCGTCGTGACGCTCCCCCACGAACTCAGCCCGCCTGTGCAGACCTGCTCACTTGAAAGCCGTTTCCCGACAGTACGGGCTCTGCCTTCCAGAACCACCTCGCCTCCAAGTCTCCTCCTCGTCCTGGTGGCCCCAGGGGCTGAGGCCGCCTGCGCGCAACTGTGCCGATTAGAAACCTCCATTCTGCACGACTGACCGACCCCCCCGCTGCTTGCCGGCTCCTCCGAGGGCTCCAGACGTCAGGGAGGCTGCCGGGCCCTCTCCGCCGGGGCAGCAGTTTTGCCGTATCCCAGGCTGGAATGATCCAGGCGGATCCAGAACGGGGAGGAACGCAGGTCTCAGTTCCAGTTCTCGCCTTCTGACTGGTTCGCTCCGGGACCTCAGGCCAGCCTGAGCCTCGGCTCCCGCGCCCACCCACCTCACCTGGGTTCCCGGGGACCGAAGAAGGCAGTGGCGTGCCTGAGACCCTCAGGCCTGGGGCTGACACACAGAGGCCACCCAAGAAGAAAAGCCCCATTTACTTTAGGAAAATGAACAACTGCAGACACGTGCAACTCTGTCTTAAACGCCCAGTAAGCAGCAGACGGGCACACGGAGTACGCCAGACCAGGGCACGGGGCACAGGCTGCTGCTGAGAACAGGCTGGGCCGTCTTTCCCAAGTCTGGGGCGCAGGGCCATCGCGCTCCAACTGGACCCTCGCTCAAGCACCTGGAGACGTGAACCGCGGCCCGAGGCGAGTCCAGGCCTGCCGGCGGGCCCCCGGCAGCCCACGCGGCAGCGGCTTCACTCAGACGACGGCACGGGCGGGCACCTCAGCTGTCACAAGAGGACACGATCGCTGTCGTCTTCACGTCTCAGACTCTGAATGTGTGGCCCTGGATCTTCTTTCAACGGGGAGGAAGGGGTTACCCGCCTTGTCGTGCCTGCTAGCTTCTGACACTGGTCATCTCCCACACAGCTCCTCCAAGGCAACGCCGTTTCCCGTGTGGGTCGACACACAGCTGCCGTCAAAGGTGGTTGGTGAAGCGCCTACCCATGTCAGGTTCACCCTCCACCGTATCTTTCAGCGGCCCTGACCCAGTGAGCTCACGTGACGACTCCTCCAAGCTTAAAGAGAAAAACCAGTCTCCAAATGATGCGGTGGCTTTCACTGTAACACAGGCGACACAGTCCTCACGTTCCGGTCTGTGGCGGAACCCAAGGGACTTCTCGGCAAGTTCGGGTTTGGGCACAGGTTCCCTCCACACCAGCCCCCGGCCCCCTCCCTGTCCCTCCCACCCGACTCCTCGCGTTGGCAGCCTCAGAGCTGCTGCCCCTCTATCGTAAGTGCGCCCACGGGCACGTCTGCGGCCGGCTTTCCAGCCACACTCTGCGACTGTGACCAAGTCCTGGGGCCTGGAAAAAACGCAAGTTATTGGGCTGGCCAAAAAGTCCGTTTTTCCCCCCACCCCGGTAAAATTAAAGACACATTTTTCATGTTCACCGTTAACTTTATTGATTTGGGTATTTTGAGTATGCTGGCTGTCTCCCGCTACTGCCTCCTAGTGGGGAGAGGGCAGGGGTGCTGCTAAACACCTTCCAGGGCATGAGACGGCCCCACAGCTCAGAACTATTTGGCCAGAATGCCGACAGTATCAAGAAACGTCGCAAACCACTTTTGTCACATCTGGTAAGTCACAGCACCCTCTCCATACACGGTGCAAATCTTTTTTGTGTGTTTCAGTTGTGTTTTTCTTGCAGTAATAAAGCATAATACACCGAAAATGGTGCATATTTTCTTCTATCTTCAATATTAAAATGGCTGCACAAAAACTCACCAATTTTGATAAGTTTCTTTTTTAAATACTCGCTGATATGGCAGCTGTCACAATACAATCTAACAAAATGGTTTCAAATGAAATTAAAGACAACTCAGCGCTACCAGAGCCACAGAACAGAAAACACCACCGGACCTTCTGGCCGACCCGGCAGAAGCCGGCGGCACTGAGGCCGCCGGGGCCGGGCCAGCCCGGCGCCTGGGAGAGCACCTCGCTCGTAGGAAGGAAGAGGCGCATCCCGCACCTCTCCCAGAAGCGGGAGGGCTTCCTATCACAGACGCTTGACACCGCATCTCGGACAAAGTGAGAGTGTGAGGCGGAAATGAGTTTTCCCAAGGAGGACAGAAAAGGGCGGGGGAACCAGGTGTGACTTCCAGGAAAACGTGCGCACAATTCTCCTGAACGAGCGGACCTGCCACCGCCTACGTGTTGTGCCCTGGGGACCACGGAGGTTTGGGGATCACACCGATCCTCCCATCTGGGCCTTACCCGCAATCGGTAGTCGTCCACCGTCCAGATGCGGCTTGCAAAGTCATTTGAAGCTGCTAAGAGGTAAGATCCCTACAGGAATAAAGGGGGATACAAATTTCAGCCAAAAGAGAGGAATTCAGTGTACACAGTAAAACACCCCAGCATCAACTCCAAGAAGGTCTACATATTTGAAACTACACGCCTGATCCAAATACCAACCATCATTCCCAATGTCCTGTCAGTCACCCACCTGTCACCTTCAGACCTTCCCCCTAAACTCACCCAGTCTCGCCCGAATGTGGCAGAACCCTCCCGCTCAAGGTGGAACCCAGCCACCTGCGTTCACCCCTCCCCCCCTCTGGCCCGCCGCCGCCTTCAGTAACAGCGAGTGCTACTTCTCTACACCGGGGTGTCAGACTCATGTTCCCCAGGGGCTACAGCAGCCTCCCAGTTACCTTCAAGGGGCCGAATGTGATTTCAACTCCTTAACAGTTAAGGAGAAGTCACATGTATACAGTCCTAAAGTTATTTCAGCCCTCTGAAGGGCTGAATAATCAACCTCGAGGCTGATGTGGCCCCCGGGGAACATGAGTCCGACACCCCTGCCGTACACCATTCAAGCCGGAGCACCCAGGGGAACCGACTGCCCCCACCGTGCCTCCCCTCCCAGCCACCCCCTTGGAGATCTGCTCGACTCTGGTGCAGGCCCAGCTGGACACCCTCTTCTCCATCCACAAGGCCTTGGCCCAGCCGGGGCCCTGACCCCGTCCGCGAAGATGCTCACTGGCTGGGGGAACACAGAGGGGCCTCCCCAGCCAGCCCTCAACTCGGCCAGCCCAGAACGTGTGCTCCGCCCGCGCCCCCTCTAACACTGGCTTTACTCAGGATGAACAGCAGACGCACCAGGTGGGTTATTTTTGAATTTGGAAACCCAGGTGTGTTAAACTGCCTGTAAACACCTCTACACTCACCTATGTCCCTGGTGGCCGATACTTACAGCGCTATCGAATTCAATGCTTGTGATGCCCGCGTTGCTGCCGGAGAGGGAGCCCTTGAACTCACACTTGTCTGGACAGAAAGATGGAAAGACAGGAAGGTCAGGCCACGACGTGGGGTGAAACGGGGCCCCCACAACGCAACGGGAGCCACCTCCATCGTCACGGCAGCGGCACCCTGTGCCACCAGTCGCCCAGCAGGACCGTCGGTGTGAGGCCGAGACTCCCTGCAGCCAGCTGCTGAGAGCCGGGAAGGGGGGAGTCGGTGCAGAGCCCAGCATTCTGCGCGTGCGCTCTTTCGGAGAAAGTCAGTGTACATATGTCCATCGACTTAGCATTTCATTCAGTTCTGTGACATCTCAGTGCAATGTTCTAACTTACATAAATATACCTTTGGGTTTAACCAGTGTTTGTGCCAACTTAACTATCCGTTTTGTAGAAACAGACCATCAAATTTTCAAAATCCTTATCTGAGGCCGGAAAAAGAGTTTTCGTTTTAGTCACGGGTAGGTGTCTAGTCGTAAGGAGGCTGGTTACGCTCGTGTGGCACTTCCGTGGTTTGTCCTTGCGCTTGCTCACTCTGTGCCTGTGCACCCCGAGAGCCTGGCCACCCAGCTGCCTGCCGGTGCTCCCTGCTCCGCCCAGCCCCCGGCACCACCAGAGCCAGCCACTCGCTCCTGGGCGCTACTCTCAGGCAGCGCGGGCCTGCACGGCAACCTCACTGGTGCAGGCGGACACAAGCTAGAGGGGCGCAAGTCTCCGCAATGACGTGATCACCCATGTAAACCTGGTAGTGTCTCCCCGAGTTCAGAATACGGGAGACACCCACCTCTCCAGCTGCACGGGGCCACTGTGAGACCCACAGGGAGTGACCGACGCAGGCCCACGGGCACCGCCGACCATGGGACAGGGAGCGCGCGTGCGCTGTAACTGCGGGGACGTGACAACGTGGTTCCTACAGAAACCTCGCCAGCCTGTCCTCTGACCTCGCTTCATTCAAGTGCGTGTGCGTTTCACCGAATCTCGAAATGCCAAAACTGGGCCACGCCCCAGCGCCGGACCTCTAAGGGACGGACTCAGTCACCCCTTCCCGTGTCGGTGCCGTCCCGTTCCCCGGTGCTCTGAGGCCGTGTCTGAAACGAGGCCTAATTAATCAAAGACCGGGTCCGATCTCAGGGCCCCTGTCTGGCAAGCTGTTGTTAAGTGTGTTTTTTCAAGGCCGTGCCCACTGGTATTCTTAAGTGCGTAAGCCACAATTTCATGTGTAGTTTAATTAGAGTCCACAACTGTTTGATTTTTCATTTTCCTTCTAAAACCTGTACTATCTGGGATGATGTTCTGATTGTACCTCTTTCTCACACACACACACACACACACACACACACACACACACTCAACCTCACTGCACTTCCCGCCACCACCTGGAAACCCAGGGCAGCCCCCCTTGGCCCTGGAGTGTAACCGAGATAGCAGCGATGCTCTAGTCGGCCCCCGAGACCACGTGCTGCGTGTTGAGAAGACGAGCCGTGCAAAGGCTGCCCGAACCCAAGTCAGCCGGTGCCGCCTGCACAGCTTCCTTCCACACCCCCCGGGGGTCTCACCTCCGCACACTTCCCAAAGCTTGACCCTCCGATCCATGCCTCCCGTGGCCAGCAGCCGGGAGCCGGGACTGAACTGCACGGCGTTCACCTCCCCGTCGTGGGCGTCCTGCAAGACAAGCGCCCCCTGAGACCCGGCCCTGTCATTCCCGAGGGGGACGAGCCGGCCCCCGACGTCTCCCCCAGGGCTGCACGGTCACACCTGCAGGGAGGGGGTCCCAGCAGAAACGAACTCGGGCGCCTGGCCCAGGCTTTCCTGAGACTCCGTCGTCACTCTACTCCGATAGTCCGCAGTCCCATTCATTTAAACACAGTGCAACCTTCTCGAAAAGGATTCAAAATCTGAGCAAACTAACCGCTTCATAAAGTTTGTTTCCACATTAATTTTACTTCTTCTAGGAATAAGAAATTTCAATATATAGTCTCGGATGATCTTTACAGCTTCCAAGTAAGACTGGGGACACCTGCCTCTTCAGTCCAGACGGAACGGATGCCTGTCGCACTGTGTCCCAGACAGCACGGCTCCCCGACAAAGGAAGCTGCCACGGCCTCGAGAACGGGGGCATGTTCCAGTGTGGGGCCTGGACCCGGGTGGATGCAGTGCCAGAACCACACAGCGGGGCTCGAGAGGGACCTGTGGAGGCCCTCGTGCGCACTGGCGGTGCGGCCCCCGCCAAGCCCCCCCCACCCCCGTCCTGGAGCCTCGACTCGCTCGCCGACGAAGCAGCATGCCCACGGGCCCCGTGGCCCAGGCCTGTGCCCGGCCACAGGGCCCTCCAGAGACGTGGGCAGGCGCTTCCCGGGGGGCAGTTTACATTCGCCAGAGGGAAACTACCGAGTCTGGCTTCCACCCGGCAACACGTGGCGCAACAAGGGGCATCTGTGTGCAGGACACGGGAAACCGAGTGAGAAGCATCCCATCCAGGAATGGGGCGAGGGAACACCGGAAGTTGTCCATGTACGCTCCTCTCTTTAAGCCACAGACACGGACTAAAACACGGACTGCTGGACGTTGCCTATGACTGAAACTGAACAATAAATAAGGTTCTTTTACTCCCCACTTCTGCTTGAAAATTTCCGGAACAAAAAGAAACAAAAAGACCACGGAAAACATGGACTCTTAATATCAGACCATCAAACAGGTCATCCGTCATTGTCCCTAAAGGTCATCTTGGGAAGATGAAACCTCACCTTCGCCTTTGCTTGGGGCTGAACGAGCTGCTAAAACGTTATCGCGAGCGTGACTCTGTTAACTGACCGGATGCGCACGGCACTTTGTCCTTTCTTTGCTTGGCGATCGCATTTCCCACCCACCCCTCCTCCGTGTCCCACCGCTGAAAAGCTATATGACAGGGACCAAGCCTCTCAGCCCCACGCAATTCCCTTCCTTGTCTTTGTTTAAAGCAACGTCCACCGAAGAGGTCTCAGATTGAAAACTTGAGATCACGCACCGTCACACCCACGGCTGCCGCTCGTCAGCCTCCTGAGAGCCGGGTCTGTGGGAAGGCTGTCAGCTGTGAACTGTCCACTCTCAGAACACGCTCCGACAGCATTCCGGAGTGTCAGCAGCCCCACTGCCCCGTGCACACCACTCAAATGTGACGGGAGGAAAAGAAGGGCTGCTGGGAGTTGAGGGCGAGGGAGGGCTGTGACATCAGGTGCGATCAGACCTTTTACCAATCATCATCGACCTCCGGGAGGCGGCCGGCGGGCCTGCGCGGGGGTGGGGCGGGCTCTCTGGACAACGTCCAAGGCAGTCCGTCCGTCGCTCAGCCAGTTCACGGTGTGCACGTATCTGATTATTCAAGTGCCTCCTTACGCCTGGAACTGACAGCTCCCCCATAAAAATGCCACCCCGTTTTCACAGCAAGTCCTTCTCTCCCCTGAGAGCTGGCTCCTCCGAGGTGCCGCATACAACCCCAGAGTCAGCCCAGCGGTCCTGGCCCTGCTCTTCCTGTCTGCCCGTCCACCCCATATGCTCCCGGGCCCTGACCAGGCACTCTCCACGCCCCCAGCTGGCCGTGTCTGCGCCCCGACCCCAGCAGGGACCCAGCTCTGATCTCTAGCCGACGGCCCCAACAGTACAGTGGCTCCCGCCAGGAACTGACGCCTCCTTCCAACCACGCGCTCCTAACAGTCGGAGGTCTCACAGGTGTGCACGTGAACCACGGAGCCAACCGCTGCCCTGCTGACCCTTCACCACAGGCCACTGACTAGACTCCGACTCTACACTGGAGCCAACTGGTGACAGCAACTGTGTGAATTATTAATGTCTTAGCACCCCTAATGAGTCTTCCTTTGCCCCGTCCCGCCTGCTTCCAATCCTCTCTCTCAGCCAGTGCTGTATGGTGGAGGATGGCTGTCACACATTGTCGTCTGACGCTAAGCAAAACGCAGGACTGCCCCCACCGGACAGAGCCGACAGGCACAAAGGCCTGCGCTACAGAGAAAGCATGCGAGAGCTTGGCCGCCGCGGGAGAAAGGGCCCGTTTGCTGCCACACTGCTACCACCCGAGGCTGGGGGGGGCGGGGGTGGGGTCGGTCGTACTTACAAAGACACACACCGCGGTGGTTGGGACCCTCACTTCTTTAGCAGAACCGGGGTGAGTATCCACACTGTCCGGGGGGGCTGGGAGGGAAGAGACGGAGCGCCTCCTGAGAAGCAACAGGAAGGAGAACGTCAGGCAGGACAGCGCGAGGCTGATCGTCCGCCAAACCCAGAAGGGATTCAAAGACCTTTGCTAACAACCAGCAGCTTCTCTCCCCTCTGGACCCCTTACAGAGTGACCGGCCACACGAGAAGCATCCTCACTCCCACGACAACTGGGCAGACAAGCGGCACACACTTGTTCTCTCCGCCTGCCGCCCACGGGCTCCAGAACCCAACACGGAGGAGCGATCCTGCACAGCGGCTTCCCGGTCAGCAGCCCCCCGGGGAGCCTCCCCGACGTAACGGGACTGCCGGCTCAGGAGGAGCCCGCTGGCAGTTTTGTGAAGCAGTTTAAGGGCGCTCAGTGCCCAGTCACAATCGCCCTCAGCGCACACCGCGGTCGGGGGGAGTCGAACGCGGGGGAAGAAAGAGCAGAGAGAGCGTGGCTGCCGGACAAAGCGCTCGCCCCACCGCCCCGCTCGCAGGCCGGCGGCACCCCTCGGAACATGCAAAGCGTCTCGGTTAGCACACGCACACGGATGACAGGGGGCAGCGAAGCGGTGATCAGCGTGATTGTCAATGACCCGCACCCGCATGCCGGGGTAGTAGGGGTGGGTAATGGCTTCACCTGGCAGCGTCGGAAGAGTGGTGCCCCCCAAGGGGAGACTCGGACAGACTAGAGGTAGAGGGTAAGGCCGAGATCACCAGGCAGCAAGAGTCAGAGAAGGAAGTTGAGGAGAAAGGAAGAAGCCAAATGAAAAGCTGACATTAAGGCACCTGTCCAGTCCGCACCACTGAAACTCCGGTGTGTGCTTACAGAAATTATAGTAGATCACGTACACAGACTTGGGTATATTTACACACATTATCGACAAGGGGAGGTGAAAGATTTCTAACCTACCCAAAGATATTAGTGATAGAATCCAGAAGGCCTCCAGCAGGCTGCGAGAGTCGCTTACTAAAGAGGAGGGGAGGATAGGTTTAAACCTTAGAAACATTTTTCCCAAATAATCAATCAATAACAACAGTCCACAAAAATAGGTACCTGAGAAAGTTTCCCAGTGAGTTCCCAAACCCCCGCCGAGCAGCCCACCGCAGTGCAAACCACCAGATGACAGTGGGCAGGAAGGAGGAAAACCCAGCCTCAGAGTTTCAGGAGGAAACGAGGTTCCCTAGCATTATTAATTGGCTTCCCTGGAAACCATGTTTTTGACAGCGAGACTGTCTAACTGGCTGTTAATAACCAGTCCCCATTCTTTCAGCCCTGCTTTCCCAAACCGAAAGAACCCCGGAGCCCAAGTGAGATAAACAGGATGATCTAACTAGGCACCCCGCCTGACAAGGTCTGAACCTCTGTCCACCTCTGAGCAAGCCGCTGGGCCTCCCCGGCCTCCCCGCTCAGCTGGCGGCAGCAGGAGGGAGGGCCGCCCGCCGCCCGCTGAGCCGAGCGCAAGGCGGGGACACAAGGAGCCCGCCCACTGGTCTCTGCGGTTGTGGGCCACGACGCGCTGTCAAACCGCGCCCCAGCGCTCCTTTCCCGGCTACTTACGAGGCCGTTCTGCTGACGGCTCGCATGGGGGAGGTGTCCTCGGTGTGCTCAGAGGTTTCGTCCACGATGACCTCGATGTCGTCGTCCCTGGAAGGAGGGGCAGGGGGCCGAGTCTTTGACTCTGCTCGGCAGGCACGCCGCGATGGGCCTGCTCTGCAGACGCTGACCCACCTCCTACCCATGCATCCCCTGTGCTTGGCCGTGACAGCCGTGGTTAAGGGTTCGCTGGAGGAAAAGGAACTGCCACGCTCTAAACGTCCAACCCGTTCCATCCAAATCCGGAACTGCAGCAGAAAATAACCTTAAAAAGGAGCTTTTGACCCTTTAAATCGCACTCGGAAAGCAATTAAATAACAGTTCATTACGTCTAAAACCGCCTAACCAGAACCGAGGCAGAGTCTCTCCATCAGAAGTCTGGTCTGCAGCCGAAAGGGCCCTGCCCTCGAACCACTGGACTGTCCTCACCAACACACACAGTTCCCGCGAGACGGCGGAGGGGCTCAGAGGACAGGAAGGGGCGGCTACGCAGCACAGGACAGGAGTGTAGGGGGAAGGTCCCGGTGAACAAGGGACCGATAACAGCGCAAGGAAATCCACGGTTGCCTTAACAGCCATTTTAAATATTATTTTAATAATATCAAAAACAGGAAAGTCTTCTAAAACTCTCTGTCAGAATCCCAACACAACCCATTCTGGCTCGGGGTACTTTATAGTCGAGGCGCCCGGTGCTCCTGACACCTGGGGAGCCCACGGCGTCTCACGCGACGCCACCTGGTCCTCAGAACACACGCCTCTGCTCTGCTCACCCCACGGGGCCCAGAGCACCTCTGGAACGCTCCTTCTCCCCCCGTTTTCCTGGAGGGGGGGGCAAGTCATCGCTTTGGTCTTAGTGACCTCCTACCAAGTTGCAGTCTTCAGAGAGAAGTAAAATGGTAAGATGTCATAACCCAAGGCTGTTATCACCTGACTTTTGGATTCGTAAGAACTTGAAAGCAAGATTTTTTTCATGCTTGATTATCTGGATAAAGTACATATATACTTAAGAACCTGTTACCGAGCAAGTTAAGCCAAGTCAAAGTAAGCTTATTGTCCTGGGCTACTGCTTCTAGGAGCCCACGTAGCTGAGCCCAGCCCGGGCCAGGGCGCGGAGGGCGACAAGGGCCGGCCTGGAGAAAGAGGACAGGGCCGGGCTTCCTTTTCTCCTCACCGCGGTCCGGGCAGTCACTTGTGCTCGCACGGGGCGAGGACAGACCGGCAGAGAGGGCAGGAGCAGCAAACGTGAGCTGAGCCCATGCACACGCTCTCGGGTAGAATTCTACAGCCACAAAGGCACCGGCACTCTGCAAAGGCCCAGCGCCACGAGCAAACACTGGGGTCTGGCACCCGATTATCAACCCTTCAAACACGGAAGTGCCCTTTCCCCCAGAAACGCCTCTCTCAGGGGCGCACGGAGGCTGAGAACAACAGGCCCTGGACACCAGACCCCCTGCGTCTGCGTCCCAGCTCGGCCCCGTTCTGCACATTCGACCGGCTGAATCGCTCACACCCAGTCACCTGTTCTCGCTGGCAAACGGGAGGCAGGCAGAGGACGCTTTGTACGCTGTTATTTCTAAATCAAATCTCACTCCCAGGTCACTTATTTATCTACTTCACGGTTTCGGGAACAGACGTGTGAAGTTCCCTTTGCACACCTGAGAGTGCAGAAGAAACGCACGCCCTACACCTGAAGCAAAGCTCGGTGTGAGAGCATTCTTGTTTTCTCATCAACAAAGACCTGTGTCTGGTAGATGGCTACTAACGGAATTTAAACCCCGCCCCTCCACCTTTGAGGAAGCAATTGTTAAAAAACTGGATCGTAATTCTAATACCATATTCCAGGCTATATTTCAATAGAAAAGAACACAGCCTGAGCTAGAGACAAAAAAAATTCAGTTGTCAGAACAGCCACCACCTCAAAACAAAGCTCTGGTTCTCAGGCAGACTCTCCACCCTACCCCCAGGCCGGGAAAAGCTCCAACTGATTCTGTTCCTCTTGTTCCACGGGGCCCCTGCCTTCACTTACGCGTCTAAGGTTTGCCCCAATGTCCCCTTAAAGTCACAGAGCGAGAGAGCAGGAGAGCCAGGCCAGCATCGCACTGCCCAGCCCCAGCCCCAGCCCCAGCCCCCGCCCCAGCCGGAGCAGAACTCGGTCGGTGCCAACAAGAAAACAGCGGGGCTGTCGGCTGCCAGGGGTGCAGGGAGTCAGAACTCACGCTCATAGCGCGTGACGAGCGTAAACGGGAATGGCTTCCTGGAAGGTATTGAGTGTTCTTTAATTTTCTCCCTTAATCTTTTACCCCTCTTTTGACAATCTATACAATGGTTTCATATAAATTAAAAAAAAATCTATTTAAAAGGAGTAAATCACATTAGGAAGAGCACAGTTTTGACTCTCGTGTCTCTACTTACTGCTCCACGGGCAGAGGTTCCTTCGCTGCTTCTGCGAGCTCTTTCTGCAGCCGGGCTTGCCGCCTCCTATTTAAAAAAAAAACAACAAAGTCCACTATTTATGTTTGCTTGGAGGCAGCACGGGGCTTTGGCTCTTAATCAGCCAGTTCTAAGAACACATCCAAACATTCACTGCACCCAAAATAAGAGCCACCCTAGACAAAGACACCGAAGCCCCAGACCCACACAGGTAACAGCCGTGAGGATCCCCTCATGAAGGACGTCGGAGCAAAGCCCAGAGGAAGGGCCGCGCTATTAAAGAGGGCAGTGAACCGCGGCGGAGGCCGGCCCGCTGGGGCGGAGGACCGCACGGGGTGAAAAGGCGCATCGGGCGCATCCAGAGTGAGTCTCGGTTTGCCCTCTGCAGCAAACGGTCCCACACAAACACACCTGGAGCCTGAAGAATAACAGTTAAGATGTGCTCGGAATTTATCATGTTTGTGCCCGGCTCAGTCCTATTATTTTACACGTGTTAACTCGTTCAGTCCTCGTAACAACGCTCGGAGGCCGAGTGGCGACATTCCCGTTTTACAGATGAGGACGTGCGGGTGCAGTGAGTCCTGAGTCACCTGAGTGCACGTGACTTCAGCTCGCTGGGGCTGGACCCAGAGGTCTTGGCCGTGGCAGGGTCTGAATGCTGCCAATGGTCACATCCCTTTTCATGAAAACCGTTCTTGTCCTCCTTCCCAAGTCCCAAATGCAGGCGCTTCCTACTGTCTCCCCTTGGCCTCCTCCTGGGGTCTCACCCCTGGCCCGGAACTCTAGCACTGCTACTGAGCTCCGGTCAAGAATTCTGCTACACACAATGAGATATCACTTCTCACCAGTCAGAATGGCCGTCATAAACAGAGCAACAAATAACAAGTGTTGGAGAGGTCGTGGAGAAAAGGGGTCCCTAGTGCACTGTTGGTGGGACTGCAGACTGGTACAACCACTATGGAAAGCAGTATGGAACTTCCTCAGAAAACTAAAAATGGATCTGCCTTTTGACCTGGCAATTCCACTGCTGGGACTCTATCCTAAGAATCCTGAAACACCAATCCAAAAGAACCTATGCACCCCAGTGTTCATAGCAGCACAATTTACAATAGCTAGATGCTAGAAGCAACCAAGATGCCCATCAGTAAATGAATGGATCAAAAAAACTATGGTACATTTACACAAGGGAATTCTATGCAGCAGAAAGAAAGAAGGAGCTCCTACCCTTTGCAACAGCGTGGATGGAGCTGGAAAGCATTATGCTAAGTGAAACAAGCCAGGCAGTGAAAGGCAAATACCATATGATCTCACCTTTAACAGGAACCTAAACAACAAAACAAACAAACAAGCAAAATATAACCAAAGTCACTGAAATAGAGGCCAGGCTGACAGTGACCAGAGGGGAGAGAAGAGGGAATTTCAGGGGACAGTGGGAAGGGTTCACAGGAACAAGTATAAAGGATATGTGGACAAAAACTAGGGGTGGATGGAAATGGAAGGGAGGTGGGGAGCGATGGGTGGGTAGGCTGGGAATAAAAGACAGAAAACTGTACTTGAACAATTAAAATTAAAAAAAAAAAAGAAAGAAAAAGAATTCTGCTACAATTCTTTTTAAGCCTCCAGCAGAAAGATTAATTCTCAAAATGGGGAAAAGTCCTCCAGGTGACATGCCAGAGTCTTGGGAAGGAACAAGATTATTATAGCTTGAAAAATTATGTTACTATCTTAAGTTTACACCTGGAAGATGAAAAGTGTTACAAGTGACCAAAAGACCAGTTTAACAAGTTGTTTCTAGCCAAACACACGCCCTAGGAGCTGTCTCTGAGGGAAAGGCAGCATTTCGGTGTGTGCCGTGTGGGCCACGCTCCTCCGAGGGAAAGACCCTTGTCTGTAAGGGGTCAAGGGCAGCCCTAAGGTCACGGGGGAGGGAAACACCTGCCCCCGGCCTTCTGGGACTACTGAAAGGAGGCGGCCTTCCCACTCCTCCAGCTCCGCAGCAGCCGCGGTGCCGGACGGCAGCATGTGCCGCAGCCCAGTGAGGGAGGCATGGAGGCAGGGCACGACCAGCCATCCCAAAGCAGTGCGCCACGCTGAGCCAGGTAAACAGGAGCTGCTGGAAGGGGAAGGGCAGTAACACAGGCAAGCAGAGGACGGCACGTCCATGTGTGTGCACACCCCTGGGAGAACATTCCAGAGGACCGCTTCCTCCAGAGAGTCTGCACCGTCCCCCCCCACGCACGGGGAGGCTGCGGGGCTTCTCCTCAGCAGCCACACACTCCCGCACCTCCCCCTCCAGCACGCAGAGCAACGCCTCAGGCGGCTCGCAGCCTTGCCCTCCCCTCCCAGCTGCCTCCGAGCTCCGAGGCCTAGGACAAGCTATTCCACTCCCAGTCAACACCAGACAGGAAGAATGTAAAATATTTTCTTCGTAATATGGTAGAAACTGAAAAGGGTTAGAAAATACAGAAAACTAAGAAAGACAAAAGCCCCACTGCATGCAAACATCACCATTGATTGATCTCCCGAGGGACACGCTGCTTCTACTTACTCACCGCAGTGAATGGCGAGCGACCTTGACACTTGGGAACCAGACTCATTACCTCCTCAGGACGAAGCCCAACAAGTGGGGACACTTTTCAGACTGCCTCCCAGTCACCCCACTGTCCTCCAGGCTGCACAAGTGGACTGCCCGTCCCCACCCTCCCACCTGCCTCCCAACAGCCCCCGCGGCTGGGTTTACTGACCACGGTCACTCTCCTGACCCGTCCGTCTCGGCGCCCACCATTACCATTCATTCCTCACGGGTGCTGTTAAAGATGTCTGTTTTATAACAGCGTGTGCTGGTTGACTGTTTGTGTCCTTTGACAGTAAAAAGTCTAAAAATTTTACCCAGCCCACTCTTTATTTCCATTCCTTTTAACGTTTTAAAAAGTCCTCCGACACTCGGTTTAGGAACTTTTCACAAAGTAAACAGCGGACGGTCACATTTTTGCTTCTACCTTAGGGTTCAGTACATGATTTGGTAGGGCTAGTGCTGTTACTAAGACTCTCATTTTCATTCATTCATACACTGTTTTAGATGAACTGCAATACTCTTTTCAGATCCTACACTACTGACGTGGGATTTAAAACGCTGTGCCCTAGTCTCCGGAGAAGGCTCATCACTATTAGTTTCTCAGATGACCCTCCTTAGGTTTCCTAGGGGGAGCACCCCGGCCGCCCCCTCCCTGCCCGTCAGCCCGCGCTCGGCACGCTCCCCCGGCTGCATGGCCGAAGCTCCTCTCCGAGTCCAGCCAGGGGCCCTCCCTTCTCCTCTTCCTGGCTTGGTTGGGGATGCACGCAGGACGACGGGCCTCCGTCACGCTTGTAGGGGCCTCTCTGGGGGAATTTTCACAAATTTCCCTAAAGGGACTGACTCCTCTGTTACACACACTATTGGCTGTTTTTATGAAAACTTTTTGTTCCCAGTTTAAGGGGTTTTCTCCAGGATCGGGAACTGATTCTGAGCAAACGGCCATTTCAGGATCTAGTAAAGTGGTCACATCGTTTATTTTCTAACAAGATATATTTCATTGCTTTCCCAATAAACCATCTCTTAGTTCCCGGGATAAATCCTAGCAGAACTTCAACGGATTTTTTTAAAAACGTAAAAATGAGTTTGATATAGGAATTTCACATCTATGTTCATGTGAAGTTGTATACTAGCGAAATCAGATTTTTTGGTATGGGCCTAAATAGTTTTTACAAAACTTGGAGGGATTTCAATTTCTTTCTAATTCTGGTTTAATATTTATATTACTCAAAACTTAGCTTTTCTCTTCAAAACACTGAAAGAATTCACTGGCAAAATCAGCATGGGCCAAAGTAAGCCCTTTGGAGACGTAATCCTTTGTTCGGCTGCCAAACTGTTCTTATAAATGCAAATCTCTTTAAATCCGCCCTTGCTATTTCTAGTTTCGATAGCATTTTCTGGCATCCCCCACCCTGTGGCTGGCGCTGCCAGCTTCGCTTCCTTGTTTTCAAAGACCGAGGTGCGACCTCACAAAACAAGGAACCCACACACCATGGATTCACTTCCCACCTCGAATCCTTTTCATTCTCCGCATTGAGGCGGTTGGCCTCCTGGGCTTTCTCGGCCATCCACCTGGTGACCAGCTCCTGGTTCTCCTCCGAAGTCTTCCTCAGCTTCTCCTCCAGGGCCGTGAACGTGATCTGCAGGGCGTCGTACTCGTCCTTCAGGGTCTGGTTGGCCCTCTCCAGGTCCTGCAGCTTACTGCGCAGCTCCTGGCACTCCGTCTCCAGGTCCGAGATCGTCTGCAAGCACTCTGCGATTCTGAAAGCAGACACGCAGGGGAGGGGTGGCGCCACGCAGGAGCCCTGCACCGGGGCCAGACGACCTGGACCGGTGCGGTGCTCGAGCGGTACTAGCTCGGGCACCTCAGCCATCACACCAGGCGCCGTGCAGGAGACCTCATCTTTATCATGCCTCACTCAGCTTAGCCCAGCCCCAACCCCTGGGACACCCCATTAGAAGAGGAAGCATCTGCAGTCAAGTTCATCCAGACTATGAAGGACTACTAGAGCACCTTTCAGAAAAGCAGGGTTTGAAGGAAAGGGAGCCTTTGCTTAGTCGAGTGGTCAATGGAGGCTTCCGGGGCTGGAAACCCTATGCATGCCATCAGCTCTACTGTTCACCGAGCGAGAACACCTGAGAAGGTTCTCCACCGTTCTAGGCCTCTAGACGCCCCTCCCCGCATATTAAGGGGAAAGACACAGATGAAACTGAGGCTTGATTCCCTGTTTATCTTGTCTGCCAGGCTTCTCCTGCATTGAGAATAATCCTGCCCACAAACTCATCCCTGTTCTCGAGGGTCACACACTTGCTATCCTGGCCCCACCTCCACCACAGCCGACACCAGCTGCCACACCCGGTGGCCACGGGGAGAAATGCAAATGCCGCAGGGATACCTGCAAGGGCCAGAGGTACTCCCGAGGAGTATGCTGGGCACCTGGAAGACTGAGGGAACTGTCCTTGCCTCCCCTCGCCCCCAGGCGGCAGAAGATCCCTTGCCATGCATGCACAAAATGGCACTCGCCGTGAGTGCGACACGGCTGTCACCTGTCATCGCCCACCACCGGCGCTGCTCACAGAGCACAGAAAACAGAGGCGCGACCCCATGACCAGTCCCGAGGGAGATGTTGAATCTACTCACTTTGCTTCATTCACCTGCATCTCCCTGTCCTTCTGCTGCATTTGGTTGTTCAGGTCGATCACCAGCTGCGCTAACTGTGGGCAGGAAGAGCACGCTCATGAACTCGGGCGGCAGGGCCTCGGCTGAAAACTAAGGCACAGCAGGCCGTTTCACTTTTAGGGAGGGAAGGGTGCCCGTGGAGTCGGCCCACGGCAAGAAGAGACGAGCTGGGCGGCTGAGAGGAGCCCAAGGGCCCGTGGGGGTGCTCACGGGCACGCGTGTGATGCGTCCCTGCTGACGGCAGGCTCGGCGGAAGACGAGGGGTCCAGGCGACCGCCAGGTTCCTGTGGAGGCCAGGTTCCTGCCTACCCCTCCACCCCAGCTACCTTTCTGCACTCTTTAGCTGACAAAATGATCCGTTCAGGTGATCCGTAAATTGCATATTTGTTCATAATTTACCATCATGATTGCACCCAGGGTCAACACAGCACAGAATTTGATTCTTTCTGAAATTTCAGGATTCACTCAAAAGCTTTCCAAAAAATTTATTTCTTTACTGAGGTAACATTGGTTTATAATGTCATAGAACTTTCAGGAGTGTGACATTACATATAATTCGACATCTGTGTCTACTAGACCAAAAGTCTAGTTCCCATCCGTCACCACACGAGTGACCCCTTTACCCGATGCGCCCTCTCCCCAGCCCCTCCTCTCTGGCAGCCCCCACCTGTCACGTGCCTCTGCGAGTTCTCTCAGAAACTTTGGGAAGGTACTAGGAGGGCCTTCAGCGGACCAAGCAGAAAGCTTCTTTTCTTTCAAGTCTTTACCTGTCCTTTTCACACCGCCTTGGGGCGTGACGCCAGGCAGTGATCTCATGGCTCGCCCCCTCGCTGGTGGGGGCAAAGGCCTCACACCTGTCCTGCTGTTTCATTCACGTGGATAGAGCTGGCGATGCCACATGTAGCCAGGGCGGCTGCCAGCCAGCCAGCCAGCCTGTCCTCCCCACCACGAGACCCCCGCGGAGCGGAAGACAGGGGAAGAGAGAGGCCACGCTCACCTCCCCACGCTTCTTGTGCAGTTCGGTCAGCTCCTCCTGGTGCTTCATCCTCAGCTGGGCCATCTCCTGCAGCTGGCCATCGTTCCACGTGCCATCATGTCCGGGACTGACTCCCCGAACCGGGCAGATGAAGAGAAGGCGCAAAAAAGAGAGGGGGAAACAAATCAGACCCCAAGCTCCCTCAACCAGGCAGTCAAATGATTAACTCCAGAACTTCAACCCTGAACACGACGACACAGCCGACACAGCGGGCCAGGGCCCCCGGGTGAGCCGAGCGACAAGCCACTGCAAACCTGACGTGGGGAGGAGACCAGCCACCGCCCCGACCACCAGGCGTGTCGGGGACGAAGGCTAGGTAACTGTGGGGGAGACAAGTGGGCTGCTCGCGGGTCCAGCACACGAGGGCCAGCGCCGTGCCGGGCACAGCCCCCGGGACAAGGCAGCACCCGCAGAGCTCCCGCCCCTGCAGCCGGCAGTCGGCTGCGGGCAGAGACAACACACAGTCCCACGAAGGGGGGGGGGGGGGGCGGGGTCAGATGTGCTGGGAAACTAAGCAGGAACGGAGGGGAACAGAGCGACAGGGGTCCCGTCTACGGTCCTACCACAGAACACACCTGACCTCGTCTGATCTTAGAAGCTAAGCAGGGTCAGGCCTGGGTCGTGCTTGGATGGGAGACAGAGCGACCGGGGCCTACTCTATGCAGGGCAGTTGAAGAAGGCTTCTCTGAGGTCCCCGTGCAGAGACTGGAAAGAAATGTCTAGGAAGCCTACTTAAAAAACTACTGGAATCCACTGTTTCGAGGCTGAAGAATTTAATTTTAATCTTTTTAGTAAGCAAAGGGGTTAAAATATTTAAAAGGGAAGTCAACTGATATAAGTAAAACTTTTAAAAGAGTTTTTAAAATTTCATTCAATTTGCTGCGACTGGTGTGACTCAGTGGATTGAGTGCGGCCTGTGAACCGAAGGTTGCTGGTTCGATTCCCAGTCAGGGCACGTGCCTGGGTTGTAGGAGGGGACCCCGGTGGGGGACACACAGGAGACAGCCACACATTGATGTTCTCTCCCTCTTCTTCTCCCTCCCTTTCCCTCGGTCTAAAAATAAATAAATAAACTCTTTAAAAGATTTTTCATTAAATGTATTGGGGTGATACTGGTTAATAAAATGATACAGGTTTCAAGTATACAGTTCTATTAAGATTCATTAGGACAAGACAGGCAGGACTTAAGGAGACAGGAAGGAGAAGGAAACCTAAAGGGCGTCACTTGTGCTAAAAGCCCATAATCTCAAACCAAGATTTAACACCTGATCAAACTGCAGTTTCAAACTCCTCCAGATCAACCAAGCAGTCTACAAGTTCAGTTAACACCTAAAAGGCAATCTGTCTCAGGAGCCTCTCCATTTCCTCCCTCCCCGAAGAAGGAAACAATCTGCAAGATACAAACTCTTTTGGGAGGGGCAATAAGCCTTTCCTTTCGGTTGTTAGTAGCGCCCTTGTCCCACCCTTCTTCCCACGAAAACCTCCCGTGCTGTCCCACTCCCTAAAGGCCCTTCCAGTCGCTACAGGGGATGCTCCAGATTCACCAGATTCAGATCTCACTATATCCAATCAGATCTTCAAATTTGCTCAGCTGAATTTTTTTTAACAAGCCCATCAGGCAGCCATCTTCCGTGCACTCACTCATCACCCTAGCAAGCACACCCTGAAGAGACCCACCCCACTAGACTCAGTTTTCTCTGCACCCCTAAGGCCGGGCCAGCACCACCAGCACCAGCAGCACCGGGTGCAGAAGCCTGCGGCCACAGTGCAGGAGGGAAAGGACCGAGAATAGACGAAAGGAGGATGGGCGGGCCGGGTGGGGGAGAGGCAGCAGCAAAGTAAATGTAAACCAAGGGACAGATGCACAGGGGACTTGGGGCGGAGCCCACAGCCCTGCAGATCTGAGTGTGTGTGGGGAGGGACGGGATCCCCCAGGGAAAAGGGAACCACAGACAACATATGGAAAATAACGGGAGAGGCCTGATTACGAACACAAGTCACTGGCGGGGGGGGGGGGGGGGAGGTCGTGCTCCAATGGAATCCTCGCCCCAGTGATATCCAGTAAAAAGAACTGTTTCACATGAACTCACAGAACCTTTCTAAGCAAGTGAGTCTGACTGACAGATAAATACAGGAACATCATCACCAAGAGTCTAACCTGGTAGAAATAAATTGTTCTGGGTCTTCCACTGAGTGATTCAGATGGAAGGGTGACCTGGCGTTCCCTACCCCTGAAACCGACCGGAACACTGGAGCCAGTATCTTCTGTACTGTAGAGGGCCTCCCAGGGCCCAGCCAGGCACACCCCGCTGGACGGTCAGCAAGCAAGGACGGACCCCGGCCATCTGCTCATCTTCCCCACGCCGGTGCGCCAGGAAACCCGCCCGCCCACCCACCCTCCAAGGAACCACAGGGGACAGGCAGTCAGTTGCACAGCCCGCTCAGCCTCAGGAGTAAAGACGCCGAGCCACACCTAACATTTCTGGGGGTTTTTAAAGCCCCAAATTATTGTCAACCTTGTTCTTAAAAATACTAAATGTGAAAATAAGAATGGATTTTAGAGGAGCAATGGTCCTGTTTCCATACAAACCATCAAGTTTAATGCACAAACACAAACACACGGAAAAAGAAGACAGAAGACTCTAGAATGATTCCATTTATGCTACTTTGATGAAGAGTGGCTTTCAGGTTTTTTGACTATGGCCCTCAGATGACCCTCGGGAACACATCAAACCCCATCGTGAACAAATGTGCAAATATTTAACGAGCTAATACTCGCCCTCCAATAAAAACGCAGACCTTTTTCCTAATCTTTCTTAAAAACAAACAAACAAACAAACAAACAAAAAAACACCTGGCTGGCGTAGCTCAGTGGATTGAGCTCGGGCTGTGAACCAAAGTGTTGCAGGTTTGATTCCCAGTCAGAGTACATGCCTGAGTTGCAGGCCACGGCCCCCAGCAACCGCACATTAATGTCTCTCTCTCTCTCTTTCTCCCTCCCTTCCCTCTCTAAATATAAATAAATAAAATCTTTTAAAAAAATACAAAAAAAAACCCCACAAGGGTTTTTGGCAACCGGCTAGTTTAATTTCACAATCTACTAAAACGTGTTGAAAAACACTGAACTAAAAAGGATCAAATAGACCTGTTTTGTAGAAAAAGCAACTTGTGGCAATCCTGTGTTAACAAGATCCACGTAAATCTGCTCAAGAATGCTGGCCTGTTTAGAAAATGCGGCCCTGCTGGCTGGAGAGAATCTGGCCGGGTGACCGGCCTTAAGCAATCCTTCTAGATTACAGCATCTTACTAATGCTAGCCCTTTAAGGTGGGTAGGTCCCTACCTTAAAAAAGAAAAAAAAAAAAGGTTTTATTTACCGTCTTTTGCCATGTATAACGTGCACCCACAATTTGGGCCAAAAATTTCAGGGAAAAAAAAGAATGTTTTGTTTAAATTTTTTAATTCAAATTTTCATTCTAAATTTAGATACTTGTTTTTTGTATTATCATATTCCAGGTATTTTTTTGCAAACAGATATTGCTATTGCTTTCTAGAGTTACGCTTTTAACACATAAACATAAATACAAGAATTAAAAACATTTATATAGATACAGAATTAGTACTGCCCATGCATAATACACATCCTTATTTTTCCCTAAAAAATTTGGGCAAAAAGCGTGCATTATACGCAGCAAAATATGGCATCTGGCTTCCGAAATTCCCATCTGAAAAGAGCTGCCAGAACTGGAGCGCAGGGGCAGGACCTGGTTTGCTTCTGAATCAGAGAAGTGACAACTGAACTGAGACTCACATCGACCAAGGGATACACACAGATGACACAGGACGGTTCCAGGATACCTTATCTCATGCCTGTTGGGTATGTCCGGCTTCTCCGCCTGTAGCTTCTGGGCCAGCACTGAATGAAGATCCGACTTTTCCAGCAACTTGTTATCTACCAAGAAAAGGGGGGGGGGATGGAAAATCAGGTTATTTATTATATAATCTCATACACACTTTTTTTACTACTTACTATCTTATCAAGATTTGGACAAAAAGGAACTCCAGAAGACTGGGTAGGTTTCACTTTTATCAGGTATCAAAGTACTAAGTACTGTACTTTGTCACCAATTACATCGATTATCCAAAATCCAGAAACACATGCTCTTCAGATGCTGCTTGCCCTCGGCACGGGCAGCCTGGCCAGCCCGGCCAGAGGACCCTACGCAAACAACCCTGCGAGAACGTTCTCCCCAGTGAAGGCAACCTACTCCCACAGTGGCCTGTTTCTACCTTGCAAGTGAAAAATAACATACCAGAACACGAGGGAAGAACGAAACACTATGCACCGCTCAGCAACACAGGAGAACTGTGCCTATTGCTACACTTGGGCAATTGGATTTTCAAACCAGGGCCCTGGGGATACAGACATGAGTGAGAGCTCGAGTGTCCCGGGGTGGGTGTGGGGGCGTCCACGTATACAAAGGAAGAGAAGAGTGATCCTTTACTGGTCTTCTCCGACAGTGTCACAGCTGAAGATGACGGCCCCGGCGGGAGGACCGACCAGCAGCGCTGTCTGGGAGGTGGCTGGAGACAACGGCTGGAGCCAGCACAGAGGGGGCAGGATGAGAAATTCAGACCTTTCTTAAGCGGCGATGGGGAAGAGCCAGTGACACGAACAGATATTTAGTAGCAGGAGGTCAAAGACCCCCTGAGGTCCCTTGCCCAGGCAGCCGTGCGGAAGATGCTGCTGTGGCGGGGAGTGCCTTAGCGGGGGGCTCAAGGGAGAAAACTAGTTCCCTGTCTGGACATCACAAACGTGACAGGGACCACAGTGCAGGAGCTCAAAAGAAAAGCCAGGGCTAGAAATGCCAGGCACACAGGGGACCGGCAAGATCAGATGCGGGCGGGGCGGGCACCAGAACCAGAAAGTGACCACGGGAAACTCGGAGAAGAGCGACCTTTGGTGGGGGCTGTCGCAAACCCTCCGAGTCAGAGACTGTAGCTGCTCAAAAACAAAACTCGGTAGGGCTGGTGCTAGTGACTGTTCACGAAGGAAGAGCTTCTTTCTTCTCTTACGGTCTGGAGTTGCACTGCTCCCTCACACCCGAAAGTGGAGTTCCTGGGCAGAAACAGAACACTCCCCTGATCTACGTTCGCTGAAGGAGCGAGCTCGGCGGAACAGGGCCGCGCTTCCCGCCTGGGGTGCTCGCCAGCACCGAGCACCTTCCACAGGTCGCACCGGAGCTGGGGGCCCTGTGATCACGTCAGGTCTTTCAAGGACGTGAGGTATTTGGGAGGCATCCTTCCTCCAAGTTGTCCTCACCAAAGAGACGGATGGAGGTGGCAGGACCACGCCGCCTGTCCGCCAGCTCCTTTTCATCTTTGTCTTCAGGCTCAGGGGCGGGGCCTGGACAGGAGACCCGGGCAGCCGGGCAGTGAGGGCTGACACGCGGAAGGCTGGGCTGCGGACCGTCGGCGGTCCTTGCTCTCCTGCCCCTCCCAGCCGCTCAGGTGCACCCAGCTCTTCAAAGGTGCGTTCCCTCTCCAAGACTGACCTGTCCTGGTATGTGACATCCTTGCGCCCCACCATGGTGTCCATTTTAAACTGCAGAAGGACATTCACACTGTGCCGACGTGATTACAGGCACCTTCCACTTACAGACTATTATGCTCATGGCTTCCAAGCACACTCACAGCCTTGATTTTATGGAGCAGGAAGAGCAAGCTTCACCCCCATTGTATAGATGCAACAGCAAACCAGACTCAGAAAGGCCAGCGGAAAAAATGGCCAGCAAGGGGTGGAGTCAGATCTCCAACTCATTTTGACTTTCAATGTGTATGAGCTTTTAAAGAACATTCAATAAACACCTGATGGCCTGAATTAACTTAACCAAAGAAGGAATCACATTCGAATGAGAGGGCTGCCTGTGCTTCTGGTAACAAACAGCACCGGTCAGGGGGCTGCCATCCCTCTTCCTTCCTGTCTTTGTTAGGAGGATGGGCTCAGCGAGAAGGCACCCTTTCTTGGGGGAACCCAATGAAATAAGCAAAGGCACGTTAGAAGCCATCAAATTGGGTTCAAATCTAGGCTCTGCCATTAACCTGCGGGACTGCCACCCCAGAGAGACGCCTCAAGGGTAAAAAGGACAATGGGGCCTGCTTCACAGAATTTTCAGGAAAATTAAGTAAAACAGTACCTGCCAAATGTTCACCACAGGACTCAAACCTAAAAATTACTTGCAGAGCATTAAAAAACATACTGAGGCCATGTCCTAGCCCTCTATACTGCTGTTTAGTTAGTCTGGGGTGTGGCCTGGGCTTTGTAATTTTATTTAAAAGCTCCCCCAGGTGACTCTAATGTACAGGTGGGTTTGCGAACCGGCACAATCAGAATTCAACAAAGGGCAACTACTATTACCGTGAACCTCATCAAGCAACACAGCGGGAGGCACGCATCAGGCTGACCTCAAGGGCTGGATGAAACCGTGGGACCGAAGTGTGCCCACTTCTCATCTCAAAAGCGTCACCAGTTTGAGTAAAACTGGAGAAACCGGGAGCCAGGAAACGCTCATTAAAACGCATCTAAGGGTGCAAACGTTTTCGTGCTCAAATTGCCGCGGGTGTGGAAGAAAACCACCTCTTTCGTACGGAAGTTTTCACTAACAGTAAGTGCTATGATGTCCCAACTTTAACGTAAGTGAAGACTCGAAATGTGCAACAGCCACAGAACACCAAAGTGGAATAAGGGCAAGAGGCGTGCAGAATCAAAGGCCAAACATTTCAATGGCACTCAGAAGACGATGTTGACTGCGCGAGTTAATGCGAGTCGGCGTCCGTTTCTGGAGCCTGCCTATTTAAGGGCACGAGCACTGGGCGAGCTGCTGGGATTTCCAAACACAAACGTGAACCGTGCCCGCCTACGAAGAGAACACAACTCAGTAAGGGAAACCATGCACGGTCACACCCAAGGGTAACGTGGAAGAAACAGAACGCTTTATTCTAAACAAAAGGTCCGGGGCTCTGATGGCGCGCGGCGCCGGGGCCCCGGCCTCCGCTGCGCGCTGGCGCCCCACGTGCCTCTGCAGGGCCCGTCCGCCCGCCCGCTCCCGGGGCCCGCCCGCCGCTCACACTGCAGGATGATCTCTTCGAATGCCTGCCTCTGCAGCCGGTCCCGGCGCCTCAGCTCCTCGGAGATGTGGCGCTTCCAGCGGGGGAAGTCGGCGGCGCGGAGGGCCGACGACATGATGCACGCTGCCCCGCGCCTCAGCGCCGCCGATCCGAGCGGGGGCTGGCGGCCGTGGCCCGCAGCATGAGGCGACCAGCGGGCGCGGGAAGGCGGGCAGCCGCACCGCTCACCTACAGCAGCAGGCCGCCCCCGCCGCCATCCGGCACCGTCTTCCGGCTCCTGTCGGAAATGGTTTTGGCCAGAGCCGGAAGACCCGCCTCCCCCCTGACGTCATACTCCACACGCACGCACGTGGTCAGCGCCGGCGCAGGACGCTAGTTAATGACACCCTCCCGCGGCCGGAAGCGCTGCGGGGACAGAGGCGGCCGCTGGGAGGCGTTGGGTCTTCACGGTGGCTCAGCTGTGGTTGGAAAGGAGGCAGGAAAGAGGCCGCATCCGCCTGCCTGCATACGTTTCCTTTGCTTTTCAACCGCGTTTTACATTTTCTTTCTTGGTCTGCCTCCCTTTGCTTTATCTCCTTAGTTTACGAGCAGAAGTGGGGGCTGCTCCCCACGTAGTAGCTGCTTGACTGTGGACGAGTGACAACCTTCCCAAAGCCTCCAACCTGCAAAACGGGGACCGCAATGATACCTACCCTACCCAGGGCTGTCATGGGGATTAAAAGAAGTGACCTATAGAATGCAATTAGCACTGCGCCTGGCACATGGCAAGCCTCACTCGTTCTAGAAACGCAATATCCTTGCAAGGCCTGCCCACTGTCTGGCTGCTTCAGCGAGGGCATCCCCGCACCCCAGACCTTGGAAACAGGATTTTTATTTTTTCTTACAATGAAGAAAGGAAATGCAAAGAACAGTTCGAAAAGGGGTGAATCAATTGGTTACATTAATCATCATGGCCTAATATAATAGTCAATGGGTCCTTAGAAAGTAATCTAAAGGTCAAGATACAAACAGGACTTTGAAAGAGGACAAGGCCAGTTTGCCAGATGTTGAAACGTGAGATGGAAGACACGGGCTGTGGAGGAAGTGGCGTCCGTTAGCTCCTAGCAGGGAATACCTCAGTCTGTCGTAGAATCATCTGAACCTCACCCCAAGGTAGTGACCTCAGTACATGGAAATAGAACTGGACACAGTGGGAGGCCAGAGGAGAGGGAAGGACTGTCAGACACTGGCTGCGTTTCCAGTGTGTCTCCAGTCCAGAGGAAGACCCTTCAGCCACAGATAAGACGGCCTTTCCTCTTCCAAGGAGCCCAAGAGTAGGACAGTCAGGCTTCTAGTGCTGTCGCAAAAGATACTTTGTCGGCAGCTAGTACTGAGTGATCTGAACTTGAGGGAAGGACTGTGGAGATCAGAAAGAAACAGGACTTCCTCACACGCCGGAGAAAATGAAGCAGGTTGTGTAGGTCTGAATGTGAGAGTCATACCAACCTCGAAAGCCCAGAGCATCCCATAGCATCAGATCTTGACAGTTGAACTTGCTAATTTTCCAGACACGATGATGATGAAAATATGTTAATAAATTTGCAGAACCAGCAATTGCATTTGCAGAAACTGATGCCGAGAATTATTTGGACTAATATCCATGCAGAGAAAACCATAGAAAAAGTGGAAAGGCTGAAAACAACCTATATTTCCAACAATAAGAGGTAAATTGCTGTATTTTATTGTCTCAAAACAAGTTCATAATAAAAGCAATATGTATTCTAAATCCAATTTATGTAAAATAAATGCATCCCTGGCAAAAAAATGTATAATGACCAGAAGATATAATTTCTAAACTAAGCACACCTAGCTACGCTACGTCTGCCCTCTCCCTAAGTCGGCAGCTTGGTGTGGTGCACACGGCAGCGGCAGCAGCATTGTCGCTGGTCCCCCGACTCCCTCCTCCCCACTGTGTTCTCTCCCGCATCCAGGCCTCTGGGTGTCCTGCGCTCCTGCCGGCCACACTCTCCCCTCTGCCTTCGTGGAGTTACTTTCTATGAGCTAATTCTCAGCTCAGGAATCACTGCCTCATAACCTGTAGAAAACGGACCCCCACAACTAGGTCAGATCTCCCTGCCGTCCACGCACTTTCCTTTACAGCACGCACCACACTTGACCTTCACACTCGTGTATCTCAGTACTTGATGAAAGTGTGTTTCTGCCCACTCGGCCGTCGGCTCCACGGGGCACGAACTAGTTCTGTTTTTGCTCACCGTGAGAACTCCAGCAAGAGAGTGTAAAGCTTTCTGCATATTAAATGCTCAGGAAATGCTGTTTAATCAATGAATGGGATATAGGAAAATACTAACAGTATTGTCTCTGAGCAGTGGCATTGCTAGCGATTTTTGTTTGTTACATGTATTTTCTCTGCCTTGTGTACATTTTCTACTTGTCATACATTATTCATGTACTACATCTGCATGAAAAAGTCACAGAAATGAACCTGTATTTGTTGATAAAACCATTTATACAGCAGGGTGGTGGGCTCTGCGGAAGATAACTAATAAGCACAAAACTTCCGAGTGTTCCACTTATTGCAACCATTCGGGTCCTCCCAACAGCTGTTTTCAGTGGGATCGTTGTGAGCTACTGTTGGCCGCTTCACCCTCATTTACGGCTGAAGAATACGAGGCAGGAGAGGTTCGGTGAATTGTCTGAGGGCACCAGGCCAGTTAGCAGCAAGACCCGGGCTCAAACACAGGTCATTTGACTCGAGCATCTGTGCCCTTGACCACCTCCCTCCGTCGTCCAGTCTCTGTTTCAGCGGACAGTGCAGTTTGGCTCACCCAGAGCACGTGCAGCAGCAGGACTTGTAAAGAGATGTACTAGTTCCTAAGTTAGTCGATAGGGAGGGCATCCTGGTGAAGAGCAATACAAGCATTAGAGTGAAATTCACCTTTTTCAGAGAAAGTCCCTGTTATCCCCTCTACATATCGGCAGCCAAGTGGCTGGAACAGTAAACCGCCAGAGGGCTCGACATCTAGCGATCTGGGACCCGATCCCTGGCTGGCCGGTCTCCCAGACACTGCTGCCCTCCCCTACTGGGAATAACAGCGAATGTGTATTGAGTGAGTTCCACGTGCCAGGCACTGTGCTCTTCGTGGATTGACTCGCTTAGTTCTCACAACACAACCATGTAGCTACTCTTGATGGTTCCCCTTACAAGTGAGGAAACTGACACATAGAAGTCAAGTCACTTGCGCGATGTCACAGAGTCAGAGCGCTCAGGTTCAGCAGAGGAAGACGGGCGGGAACCCACCCATTCCACCACGCTCTGCACTGCGTGTCGGGGCGCCGGGGTATGGCTGTTTTCCTAGGACACTAGTATCAGAAGGCTTTGGCTGCCAACCACATAAATGCAGTTCGAGCTTCCTGAAGGGCGGGGGCGGGGGGATTGTTGACAAGCGTGTGGGCTGCTGCCCAGAGTTCGCAGCAGGGATGGGGCCGGGCACCAGCACCGGGGAACCGGCACACGGATCCCGTCAGAGTGCTCGGCCCTTTGCACCTGCGGCCCTCGGTACTGCCGCCCCCTTTCCCCCTTGTCTCACCACCCCCGCTCCTTCTGTTTCCCGCCCTGATGGTGAAAGGCAGCGGTTCCTCCAGCAGCTCCTCAGCACAAGCGAGCCGCAGACCACGCGGGCGTCTCTAAGCCCCAGCTCCCAGTTCCTGGCAGAGACCAATGGGCCAGCCAGTGCCCATGTCTAACTATCCCAGCAAAGGGGAAGGGTCGGTCTTCCAGGACGGTTCCTTCTGGATGGAGGGGAAGGGACAGTTCCCAGAAGAAGGGAGATGTAGGACCCGTCTTTTGTTCAGACTGCCCAGCTCCCACCCCCCACAACTTTCATCAACAGATCCCACGATCCTGGCTACAACGGTGACATTTCCCACCCCTCTGAGCAACAGACTGGTCCCAGGGGTGGTCACAGGAAGCCTCGCTCATCCCTGTCCCCCACAGGAATGTCAAAAGTGGATCTGGGAGGGCGGAGCCCTTTTCCTCCTTTGGCTGGGACACCTGAGTCTGTGCATCAGGATCCACTAGTATTCCCGTCCCCTCCCGTGTCTCATGAACTTAGTCTGAAAAAACACACTGCAAGTAGAGACAAGAAACTAAGAATCCTGGTAGTGTTAGAGTCCCTGGATCCAGCCATTCCTGAAAGTAACACAGCCCTATTCTCCCCCTAGTCTGGTTACATGAGCCAGCACTTCCCTGTGTGTTACTGAAGCGGGTTTCCGTCGGGTTTGTATGTTCACTGGCCACCCAATAACCCTGACTAATACGGCAGGCAAGCCCTAGAAGCCCTAGGAGACTAGGGCTGACCAGACAGAATGGTCACATCCCCCTGGTGGTCACTCAGTAGGGGCCTTCCACTTTAAAATCTCAGCACGAGGGAGAATGTCAACCCCCAGCTCTTCTCACCGAGGACTTGACGTGTTACCCAGCAACACGTTCCCAAACTTCTCGGGAAAAGTTTCTGGATCTGAGATCCCATGAACTTCTGTGTAAGCTAAACTCTCTCCTGAATAACAGTATCCGTCGGTAGAGAAAAGTTTAGCAACCCCAAAGTAGCAAACAGCAATATTAGAATTAGACCCGAGATAGTAGAAAGCACTGCTGCCGTACGTTAGAAGTATTTTCTCTTTCCCCCTACACAGAGAGCGAAGGGACACCATCTCAGGCAGCACTGTTGGCTGTTCGCATGACTCACGAGGCATTCATAGCTCTGCAGGGCGTCTAGCCAACACGGCGTTCTCTGCAGCAGGACCACGGAGAAAGCACGTGGGACAGGGTTGCGAACAGACAGATAAATATCTTGCATGGCAGGAGGCACGCTTGTTTGCTGAAGTATCCAGTAGACACCAAGTGCAACCCAGGTTCTAGGTCGGGAGTAGGGGCTTCTCAGAGCGGAGGGAAAAGGGTCTTGCTGTGCCCTGGCATCACTGGGGAGGTGACAGCCCCTCACATCACAGGGTGGGGCTCGGCCTGCCTGTCCCCGGTGCCAGACCGAGGGCCCGGGGGACCGGTGAAATCGTCCTTCCTCCTCCTCAGCAGCCCCAAGTTCCTGGTTGTGATTTCACAGCATCTCCGAGACCAGTGGGTGGGAATTCGCTTTACTCTGGGCGACTAAACAGCCCCATTCCGTGAATTTTCCAGGGAAGGGAGGTCGGGGCAGGTGTCTCTAGGGGGCGGGCGGGGGAACCTCTGCCGCGGAGCCGCCAGCTCCAGAAACTGAA